TTTGGTGCATCCTAACCACCCTATTACATTTTCTATCCCCAGGACCATTAACGACAACCTTTCCATCCTACAGGATGATCCGTCCACTGGGGCCCTCTTTTCTGACCATCCCATCATCTCATATCATCGACCACCTAATCTGCGTAACCTTCTTATTCACAGCTCCCTTGACCACCCTCAACAATCATCCACACCAGGCACTTTCCCCTACAACAGAGCTCACTCCATCACTTGCAAGAACATATCTAACGCCACACTCATTCAAGGCCCCTCAGGACAATTCCAGATCACCTAGGGAACCTCTTGTACCTCCAGCAACTCAATTCACTGTATCTCTTTCAGGAAATGCCCAGCTATCTACATTGGGGAAACAGGAAGGAGACTAGGAGAATGCTTCAGAGCACATGTTAGGGCTGTGAAGATTAAAGATTTCTCCAAGCCCATAGTTTCTCATTTCACCTCAGATGGCCATGATCACACTGATGTCTCCATCTGCGTTCTCAAAGAAGGGTTTCTTAACTCCCATAGCAGAAAGACATCAGAACCAAAAATTATCCTGAAATTTGGATCACACCTTCCCCCTTCTTTCAATGACAGACTTGTTTTTGTGTAATCTTCTCTATTCACGTGCAGGTTTTGACTTCACCCCTCTCTTCACCTCTCTCAACTTCACACCATCTGAGTGGCCTCTCTGTCTTTTCCCTGCTCCAACCTCCTCCACTCTCCCAGCTTTTGTTCTCCTATGCCCGTGGCTCTCAAACTATGGCACAAGTGGTACGCGGAGCACCCGGAGGTTGTGTGCACTGAAATTTTGGGAGGGGTTTTCATATTTTCTATTTTAATAAAATTAGTTTATGTGTCAAATACGTAGCCTATGTACTATGATACAAAGCGCGCTAATACTTGAGTGGACACAAGAGCTACAATGTAATTATATACCATTCTATAGGAATGTGTGCAACGAACGCAAGTGACCAATTGTATTTAAAAAAGTTATCTCCAGCAAATAGGGAGGTAGGAGAATGTGCGTGATTTTGGAACAATGCCAATGTTGTTAGCACAGGAAAGCATACAAATGTATACTACAAACGCTGGCAATCTTGTGAGCACAGGAAAGCGTGATAGATAACAGAAAAATATTTAAGGATTGTTCTAGGCTAATTTGAGAAAAATACACAGAGCGTCTTTTTTGCTCCCATGTGCATTAAATAAAAAACTTCTTTAACTTCTGAGACAGACTCCTGAAACAGAAGCAGATTGCTAAAGCAGGTAAGCCCCACAGTATTTGTGAAGAACTTTGTTTACCTTCGGCAAAAGAGCTGAGACCTATTATGTATGGAGAAATAGCTGCTAAACAGCTCGTGCTGCTGCCCCCTTCGAAAGACACAGTCACTCATAGAATTATTGATATGGCAGATGATTTCAAAAGTACGCTGATAGGGCGCGTTAAGATGAGCAGATGCTTTTCACTGCAATTAGATGAGTCTGTAGATACCTTCAATTTGGCCAATTAGCTCGTTTACATTACGTTATGTCCCATGAGGACTTTCTGTTCTGTAAGCAGCTACCAACAAGAACTACAGGAGAGCACATAATTCAGTTTCTGAATGAATTCATAGAAAAGAATCGCATCAACTGAATAAAATTTATCGGAGTGTAAGGATACACTAATAGGGAGATATGGATCCTGTGCAGCCGCAGGAGTAGCTGGTAGACACGGCAACAAACAATTCGAATCGAGAGGTGAGATCGTGGTCAATGAGAGGAAGGAAGGTCGAAATCCAAGACAGACACCGGAGGCAAACAATCCAAGTCGAGAGGCGAGATCGTGGGCAAAGGGAGAAGGTAGGTTGAAATTCAGGACAAACACAGGTGGCAAACAATCTGTATCAAGAGGCGAGGTAAGAAGTCAAAAGGCAAAAGGGGTAGTCCAAAATCCAGAGTGACACAAGGTTTAGGAATCGCCAGGTAGAGCTCTCAGGGACTTAACTCAATACCGAGCAGCAGAAAGCATGTTAGTATGGTTTAAATAGTACTGCTCAATAGAGTATATGCTGATGGATTAACACGTGCGGCGGCGCTTGTTATTATTATTAACCCGCTGCTGGTACTGGTTAGTTCTTTTGCGAGATGATCTCCGCTGGCTGGTGGTCGTGACACGGAGTTTATACAGATGGTGCTTGAATGATGACAAGCCGACACAGCGGTGTAGTTGCACGAATTAGAGAGTTTGCTCCAGATATGAAGTAGACGCACTGCAGCACCCACTGCGAAGCCTTGGCCGTCAAGAAAATGCCAGAGGATTTGAAATCTGTTAAACTCTGTTGTAAATTGTATCAAGGCTCGACCAATGAATTCACATCTGCTTTGCTCGACTAAACAGGCTCACTCCTCTCGCTGAAATGGTGCTTTTTTATCATTTATTTTTAATTATTATTGTTCCTGTTGTCATTTTGTAAAGCACTTTAAGAAGCCACCTTTAAAGGCACTATAATCAAATAAATTTTATTATTATAATATTTATTATATGTGTGCATGAGTGTGTGTGCGCGTGCACGCTTATGTTGGTCATTGAGAATTTCTGGGGTTCCTATGAGAAGATGACTTGTAGGTGGTACTTGGATGCTTTGGTTTGATCAGGGGTTGTACTTGGTCCAAAAAGTTTCAGAACAACTGTCCTATGCTATTTAATCTTTGCTGACTGCCCAGTCTTTCTCACACCCAAAGAAGGCTCCACAGCCGCAACATTGTGTTTTCTTTCTTCTCTTTTCAGTATGAAAGTATTAAAGTATTACTTGATCTTTTTTACATATACAGTATGCAAGTCAGAAATTCAATAGGCAAACATCTTAGCATTTCTATTTATTAACATTCCCAGGCAAAAAATATGCAAGGATATACAGTAACTTATAGCCTCGCACTGAAGTTTATACAGATACATATACATAGAGTATATGTACTGTACTCATAATGCTGTTATTAACTATATAAATGCACTTAGCATGTGTGTTTAGCATATTACACCAAAAACAAAAAAATGACATTACAGGCAACTGAGAGCATATTAACATGATCTCATTTATACTCTGCCAGAAAGGAGAGGTTGTTAAGTGTAGGTGTCCTCTTTTTTTATTAAATAGTAGCTCAATTAATTGATTTACAAATATCTGTAACCACAAAGTGTAAAATAGACACAATTTCTTCATGAATGTGACATTTTACATTTCAGCTTAGATTGCTTTAGCCAAACCTTAAATTGTTATGATAATTTAATTAATTTCATTATATCATTGGTTTCTTTGTTGCTTTTTCATGTTAAATTTCATGTTTTATTTTTTATATGCACAGCTACTGTATATAAAATAACTGCTGATGTGAAATCTTATCTTTATAAGCTGCCATAGTATCACTGATGTCTGATTTGTACATTTATTTGATTATAGCAATATAGCATTGCTAGAATGGTTCTGTGGATCCATATCTTTCACAGCTTTTGTCGGTTAGTGACCAGATTAACATAAAATTATACAACTTCCCAGTCGGCAAGCTTGTCCATTAAACACTCCCCTATTCATATCAACATCTCATTCGTACAAAATGAAGGAAAAAAAACAACTTCTAAAGTATCAGTTAATAAATTGTGCATGCGTGTGACTCTGATACAGTAGTAGAATAAAGTGCTCATCTTTAGCCTAACTAGGCTCCTGACATCCCATGAATGAGTATTAACAAGAGTTTGCAATAAGCTGATGCACAAATTAACTGCTTTCTTTGATGGTAGCAGGACAACGTCTTGATTGTTGAGGAAGTTAGGACTAAGTGCTCATATACAGTCTTATAAACATAAACTGCCCTATATAGGATTTAAGGCAGTCAGTCTTACACATACAGTAAATGATTACAGTCAGACTGTTATATTATAACTTAAATTCCAAATTTATTACAAGAGGCACACCCTATCCCCGTGCCCGTACTCAGATATAGCTTCTCTGACATAAATGTTGGTAACTTCAGTGTTGTGCTAAAGTTAAACCCATTACTGAAGTCAGATCTCTTGATGTTATTTTAACACTGTATTGTCATTCAAAGCTCATGTCAGAAACAGTACATCACAAGTGTATTGTTTTTCAAAATAAATTCTGAATTTAGGGTGATCTACAATGCATAATGGGTAATAATAGCTGGAACTGCAGTTCCTGGTTTACATAGCCTAGAAACAAAATCTACATAGAACCTTAATTGAACCATGAATACCAAATATCTTCACAACAGTCTTTCTAATGAAACTTCTGTACTTTTAATTTGGATCATTAAAAAGACTTTAGGCTAGCTAGACTTTGCCTCTGTTCTGAATTTGGCCATGATACCAGATTTAACCCATTTATTATTGCAAACAATACTTTAAGAACCTTTGTTTACATAGCATGGATTCCCGTGTAATGCATTCAAACAGAATCTCCTGCCCTTCACAGTACTCTTATCACATTTCAGGATTTATCTTGCAAACTGGTTTGCTAGCAAGCCAACTCAGAAGCAACACATCAATTAAAATATTGTGCCCATCATTTAAATGATATATTAAAAACTCAAATTACTTCAAAATATACCATACCCTTATAAAATGTCTAATGCCACAATTATGTTTTTAGATATGATGGCTTTGACAGTTAAATTCACTATAGACATTAATGTATCAAACGACGAATAAATTAACAGTATACATTCACTATTGATACATTTACTGCACATATGCGTCAAATCTTTAAACAGACTAACATAGCCAAGGGCAAACACATCTGTCTGCAGATTCTGCAGATGTACTGAGGCTTAAATATTAACTACCAGTTTTGTGAAACTTTATTCTGTTCAAGTCATGGATGTATGTTCGTTAAACAAAAGTCTGTCGTATTAAAATCTACAGTATAACGCGCTGTATCATTTCACCTTTTAAAGTATTATACCATAAGAAAATGTAGAAACACGTATAAAACTTGACTTACTCAAAATTATCTGAAGAATTAATAGAATGTTTCTCCTGATTAAATCCATTTCTATAACAGCAACACTCCACAAAGTGAACAAAGAAGAATCTCTGGAAAATATCAGGAAATCCAAATAGCTCAAGTGGTCGTAGCGCGTTTCCTTGCTCTATTCTTAAGCAGACTGAACTCTAACAAACTTCTTGAAGGTTCATAAACTTTAGTTGCATGTTTTCCGCTTTAGTGAGGGGGTGTGTTTTTCCTCAAAACCTAACGTCACCAACAAAGTACCACCTTGCCGATAAAGTGCTTGGACTGTGGTTACAGCAGCATTTTTTTCGACAGTTTCAAGGAGTGGTCATTCAGTTTTAAAGACGGTCGGAATCTGTCTTTTACCTGACATATAAACTAACAATTGACAAATATTTGTAGGTGGGACAAACGTATTTGTTCTATACTGCGTTATTTGTAAACTGTAATACCTAACCTTTACATAAAAATAATAAAACGAGTGCCTTGTTATATTTGTTTAGACTTTCTTAAACAGTATGGGGCTTTAAATAACATTGAAATCCTGAAGAGTAGAATTCAAAACGGTTGTTTTGAAAGATATAGAAGTATCCATTTAATACTTTTAATTTTCAGAGCAAACATCGATCTTTTATCTCAGTTATGAATTACTTGCAAAAATGGAGGTAAAACATAGGCATAAACACTTTGTACAAATATATTCTTGTTAAATGTCAGAAGAAAACCGTCAAAGCTATTGACTTTACATCTGGTAGTCCCTAATGATCAGCTATATTTTAAGGTGGGTAGCTGCGTCTGCAAAGGAACAAGTAATAGGTTTATTCCAAGCTGAAAAGAGAAGAGAGAAAACACAGCTATATTTCAATAATACTTTGAATACCAAGAAGAAAAAGTAAAACAAAAAGTATAGCACAGCTATAAGCTATAAGAGTATACAACAGCTGGACACAGAGCGAGACGAATGAATTGTTTTAGGGATCAGAGAAATATTCGAACTACTCTCCAAGATAAAAAATTAGCATGAAGAGTTCCTGCAAAATGGTTAGAGACAACCGGATGAGATTAACTGAAACGAGATGTTTGAGAAAAAAGTCTTAGTAAGGACATCATCTAACAATAGATTCTAAAACGCTGAAGAAGACTGCATATGTATGTACTGTTTGTATATGGCTATTAACTGCAAATTACTGTACACCAATTCATAGAATTACAAAATGTGTAAAAACATAAAACTAAAGAGGACCTCCCAGAATGAAGACTTTATATAGGTTTAGGGGAATATATTGAATGTTCTTTTGAGTAATAATACAAGTTTAATCGTTTCTGAATAATTGTAACAGCAATCAACATAATTGGCTGTTGTAATATATGGGAAATCCAAAAGATTAAAACAACTTTCTGATACTATTAATACATGAGAAGTTTCCCTTGTAATTTATTATTTGTATCAATCGAAAAATTGTGCTTAAATACAATAATTAGATTACCTTAAGATGGAAGGAGTTGCTTTTTTCTTTACAACATACTAAATTGCTTTTACATTCCATAACAAGTAAATCATTTCAAATTATTAATAGAGCTGAAACATATGCACATTAAAGAAAAAGAAATGGATGGCGATAATGGAAATTAAATTATGTAGAACTGATCAATTGTATAAACCTGTCCGATTTGATTTTTGCAGTTCTTTTTACATTTATAGTATTGTATACCTCATGTCTTTTTTAAAGGAATGCACAGTGTGTTCTTGCATGAAGGCCTCAAGCCTTGTGAGCCACAGTCTGTTGTGTGATGCGTGTTAATACAAGTTTAAAAATACTGATTACTGAGTATAGTGGATCAGCAAACCTAAGGTTGTGTGGGTGGGATAGGAATGTTCATGACTGAGACAATTTAGGAATTAAACACAACCAATGCCAATACCAATCATTATGGGTGAAACAGCCCATATTAATCAATACAGTAATTAATATAAGAAAAAGAAGTTTACATATATATAAATAGATCAGAGAAAGTACTTTTTTACACATTCTGGCTTTGTGTTTAAGCATTTAATTAACATACTACAGCAAATACATAGGAAAGGTAACATACTGTATGATTGGAGGCCCTTTGGCCTCTCTGTCCAATTTGGTTGATAGTAGTTCATTGATCCCACCCAGCCATTTTTTGAAAGAAACCAGGGTATTGGCTTCAACTACTGCACATGGCTAGGTAGCTTATTCTCCCACGACTCTATGGGTAGAGAAGTGTCTCCCTTTTTCAGTTTTAAATGGACTTCCATGTAGTTTGCGTCACGATCCGGTTCTTTCCGGGCATTATGTGGACGACATGATCCGGAATTGTGAGGATACAATAGGGAAAATAGTCATGCAGGAAAAGGGTCAGGAGACGGGGGGTGTGTCCGAGGAGTGCAGGTGTCCAGGGGGAGTGAATCCAGGGCAATGTTTGTAATTTGCTATTACAGAAAACATAAATTTACAGCCATGCTTGAAAAATATACTTACTTTAATATTATAGTTTTTGCTGCCTGCCTGTGGTTACATATGTGTCATCCAGAAGTGATTTGTAATTACCACACCTTATCCTGACTATGCTCTGTAATGTGAAATTTTCTTATGTCCTTTGAATCCAGTGTAGTGCATACAAGGCAAGATACAGTGTTTTGTAAAGTATACAGACCAAACCCTTCCTATGGTGTCCCATTTTGTGAAATTACAAAACTACAGACAAAATTTGAAACTTAATTTTTTTAATATCATTTCAGGTTTCAGACCTGGAAAATTCTAAGGGTAAGATAAGTTACAGTAATGTTTAGCAAAACTAAAGTGAGAAATACTGGAATATGTTGACTGTGTTAAATATTCAGACCACTGAACTCAATATATGGTAGAAGCACCTTTGGCAGCAATTATGGCTGAATATCAGTTTTTGGCCATTTTTTGCAGATTTGCTTAAGCTCTCACAAGTTGCTTGGAGATTACTCATGGACAGCAGCTTTTATATCTGTTCATAGATTCAAAGATTCTCAATAAGTTTCACATTGGGTCTTTGAGTGGGCCACTCTATTGTTCTTTGGATCATTATTCAGCTGAAAGATGATTTTTTGTCTTAGTTTTAGGTCTGAAGCACATTTTCCTTTAAGATAGCAATATATTGCTCCATTTAAAGTATGTACACATTAGCTTTGATAAGCTACCCAGTATCTCCAGATGAGAAGCAGAACTACACTATAACGTAATACTTCCACCACCATGTTTGACTAAATGGAATAGTTTTAACTGAGCAATGTTGTGTTTGTGTCAAATGTAACACTTTGCATTTAGACCAAATTTTCTCATCTTTTGTTGGACCACAAAACCTTTACATGCTTTGTTGCAAACTCCAAATGGGATTTAAGATGCGTTTTCCTCTCTGTCATTCAATACAGATTTTTGGAGTGACCTGGGTATTGTCTCATGCACATTTTCTCATATATAAACCATTGAACTCTGTACTGTAGGTCTATCAAAGTCACCATTTGTATTGCAGTTGCATCATTAACCAGTTTTCACCTTGCCTGGCTGCTCAATTTGGAGGGACAGTCAGATCTAGAAAGACCTTGAAATATTTTTATTCCCTTCTCCTGATCTGTTCATATCTACAACTTTATCTCTAAGTTTATTTGAAAGCTTCTTAGTCTTCATGGTTAAATCTTTGCTTTAAATTGATTGTGTGGCACATTAAGTTAATTTATTGCACCTTAATGGAGGTTTGCCACAGAAAAGGGGTTGAATTTTCCATTTACCTATTCCTTTTGTATTATTTATTTACTTCTTGATTATTATTTTTTTTTGCTCTGAATTTGGGGGCAGCAGCAGTAAGCATTGCTGGTTCATAGTGTAAGGGGTCTGGGTTCAGTTTCTAGGGCACTACCTGCGTAGAGTTTCCATGTTCAACCTGTTTTTACCTATGTTTGCTCTGGGTGCTTCAGTTTCCTTCCACAGTTCAAAGACATGTTGGTATGTTAATTGGCTTCTGTAAAGAATTGGTCCAGGTGGAGCATGAGTATGATTGTGTCTATGTGTGCCCTGTGATTTATTCGTGTCCCATCCAGGGTGTAGCTGATTTTTGTAGACTGCGCCTCCATAATCCTGAATTAGATCAATGGTTATTGAAATTGATGTTATTTAATTAATTGCTCTGAATTTTTGCAAGATGTTATGTGTATAAAAGTATTAATTGCTACTTTAGTAATAAAGGGAAATAATGATTGGAAATATTGTTACAGCTATAGGTGACTAGGAAGTGTCTATAAGAGTTTAGAAAGTTTGTGACACCTGGCAGTGAAAACACTTTTGGCTACAAAGCAAAGGGGATGTTTGCCAAGATGTGGGGTCCCCTGATTAAAAGCAATTGTAAAGTTTACCTTGGTATACCTGGCTAATTAAGTCATGGGTTAATGATTGTCAGTGAGCAGTACACCAAATAAAATAACATTAAGACCACAAAGTGGGACAACAAGAGGAGTAGAGATGAAAAAAGCAGGAAAGGTAGACAAGAGAAAGAGGAGGAGAGGAGAGAAAGAAGGTCAGACCACAAGAGAGGAGTTGGAACTTGAAGTATGCACAAGGCGATAGACCCAACTTCATGATCATCCAAACAAAACCTGACTGGACCTAAGTATTTGAACCCTAGCTTGCTATTCTGTGTTTTTAGGAAACTTGGGTTTCCTGGGTAAAGGATATCTCGGTTAGAGGCGTCTTTCCTGCTTAGGGTCCAATTTAGAATAGGGAGATAGGCTCCCATTTATACTGTGGCATCCGGGGTGTAGAGAGAGTGATTGAACTGCAAGTTGCTTTTATTTAGAAAGCAGTTTATCGCTTATTTGGCCTCTGTATGCAAGAGTTTCAGAGTTTCATACTTATTAGAAGACTGGTGGTATTTCTAGGTGATTAGAATGTTAGGCCTCTGAAATGCCTTGTTTGTATATACTGTAAACATAGTAACTTGTGTGTTATATGTTTAGCAGTGTGTAGTATAATTTGTGTCTTGTCATTGTTGATAAACATTTGTTTAACCAAGTGTGCCTGAATTATTACTCCTCTCAATAAAGCTGTGCCAGAGAAATCTATTACAAGTTGCGGGTTATGAATATTTATATCACTTATTGACTAAACTGCTGGGTCAATTCC